TGCCGCGCTGCGATCAAGCAACCTCCAACTCACGCTGCCGCACGGCAACCAAGCAACCTCCAGCCACGGCCGCACTGCGGCCAGGCCACTCGCCTTTCACTAGCCTTTCTCCTTACCGGCGCGCGCTGCGCTACCTCACCGGTCAATCATCTCAGCAGCCACGGTCCTTTTCAGGGCCAACAAACTGTTCCGAAGAAGTGGGTTGTCATAGGAGTAGCAACAAGACTACACACATCGACGACAAGAGAACCCCACAGTTGGTTGACTGTGATTAATGTGCGCAGACCGCATCCCCTGACTGCTTCTCAGGCGTTATGAATAGACACTGATCGATATGAAGGATAACATCAGGATTGTTTGTAAGCTTATGAAATTTGGTCTGTCATATTATGGGAAATGTGTTCCTCAAGGGGGCTGGAGTGTACACAGATCAGGTATCAGCGGGCAAGATGTGACGTTTAAATGGGAGAAACATGTACAAAATTATGGTGAAAAGATCTCTTAAAAGTGGTTACTTAATTCAAGAAGATGGAAAAGTAACTTGAAATTGATGTCATGGTAACAGATCTTTAGGAATAGCTGTAGACCCTCATTTTAAGATACTAAATACTTGAAGAAATAGATTCTAAAAAATTCTGACAGTGGAGTATGACAGTCAGAATTTTCAATTGTCTGGTATTCTGGAAAATAGAAAATGCGTTTTGGAAACTGGATCTGTTTCCATCCTCAAGTGTGTGTGTGGGGGGGGGGAAGACACCTACTCAAGTTGGGTCCTTTAGAAAGAGCTAACCTCAATCATGGGATCAGTCCAAAAACCCACTAATTCTGGGCTGAGGAAATGTTAACTGTGTCTCAGTATTGCAACTGACTTCCTCTTGCTTCTAGTCAGTGATTTGCAGTTTATTTTGAATTTTTTCTACTCCGCAGCATGCAGACCAAATGTGGGGCCCACCCAGCCTCCATTCCAATGGGTACTGGGGGTTTCATTCCTGGGAGGGGGTGGGGGGGGGGTAAAGTGGCCAGGATAAACTTGATCACTCACATCCATCTAGTGCTGAGGTCAAGAATGTGGAACTATACCTCCACCCTCCCCATGTCTTTATGGCATAGTGCTTAATCAAGTAAGTATGGGCACAACTGATTTTTACCTCTTGGATTTCCAATTTTCATGCAGAATGCACTTCTTGAACCGCAGACCACTGTGACAGCTACTGAAAGCCTGCAGGATATGCAGGAAGCTAATGAGACTGGGTAATCTGAAAGTACTGTAATGGTTGCATACAGGCAGTAGGTCAGCAGTGTAACAAAACAAAAATACAGTAAGATGGAATATAGTCATATATCTGTGGTACTTCAAGCACTTTGTACACGGTTAGGCCATAGCGAAAAATTATGTGTTGCTCAGAATGTATGAACAGGTTCACAGGTTAACTTCTTGCCCACATTTAGAGAGAAAATATTGCTTTATTTGAGCACTGAGGAGCAAACTTGTCAACTTGGGAGTATTAAAACAAATGTACCATATGACATACCAAAACCAATCAGATAATCACTAGAGCTGAAATACGGCTCTTAAGGCAATTAACATTCAGATGATATGAGGTCTAAAAGTCTGTGATGTTACATTAATACAGATATTATGTTTGTGGACATTATTCATCTTGTTTTTATTTAAAACATAATGTTTTGGAGACAGGATTCTGTCTCCATCTAAAGGTGAAACCTACTCAGCTGGGCCCAGTTGATATAGCTAGTCCCTACCATCAGAGATAGAATCCAGTTTCCTAAAAGTTATATTTTAAATAAAAACAGGACAATGGATAATGTGCAAAAACAAAATATTTCTATTAAGATGATGGTTTTCTGGGATGTTCCACTGTGTAGTTAGCAGATAGGCACCCGTGTTTTGGAGGAACCTCTTGTTCTTCTGCTCTGAAAACGTAGGCAACAGTTTCTTCCACCGTGCTGGTACTTCTCTGTGAAACTGGTATTCTGCAATGAAGAAAAGGTGAGGCAAGCAGAACTGGTCTGCCTTGACCTTTCAAGTCTCCATCTATGGACATATTGAGTTTCATTGTACTAGTAATATTTAGAGATATCCAAGATTATTCAAATGTTTTCAGCTTGCGCAATACATATAGGTGGGTATAAGTGATTTCCTTGCATCTCTGTGTCGGATGATAATACATGATGTCACATCCCACAGAACTCACTTTATTCCATAATTCAGTTAAGGGATAAATCTTTAGTTAAATCACTAAACATTTTGTGATTATAATATAATTTTGTGATTGAAGCTTTGTGGTAATAATTCCAAAATATTTGGTTAAATGCAGAGGCTAAAATAGCATGGAGGGTGAGATTTATGGCCAGTACCAGCCAGCACAGGCTGTTATTGGAATATTATGACATGTCCAGATAAGATGGCCAAGTGAGTTTATTTTATTGTCTCATACATCAGAAATGGATAATAGGAAACTATGCAGGAATGAGAGCTGATATTCTGCCAGTTTTCTCCAATTTTCTCCAATTTCTTCTTGTACTTTAGCCTTACTGTTGACAAATGAACAACTGGACTAGTGTCAAACATAATCACAGATAAAATAATACAAAACTCCACATTTTCCCTTAACCAACTAAGCCATAATTAACATGTGCACGTGTACAACTCACAGTCGCAGTTTACTAAATTATCACAAATCTCATGTTTCGTATAGGGAATGCACGTCACTAAAAACTGCATATGTCAGTTATTCCTGCTAAGTCCTATCCATACTGTGTCCTTGCCGTAGTCCCTGGGTAATATTCTTCAGAACGGCAAAGTATGGAAGGGCGGAAAGCAATTTTCCAACACTTTAATTGGAACCCACTGGCTAAGGGAGTAAACCCCGACAGAAAACCCTAGGTCATCCAAGGCAGCGATGGTTAGTCGCAAGGTCAGCTCCCTTGCACTGTAAAAACAATTTGCTAAAAAAAAGCTCAACAAGGGATAGCCGGACGGATGACACATAGAATTACAAAAGTCCAAAACCCCAGTAATTCTTAATGGCTATTGTTAAAATCAGAGTATTATCAGAATATGTAGAAGTCATCAAGAGAGAGACAAATTCTCTGTATGGTACCAACATAAAACACGATTTCCGCACATAATCTACACTGGACAGAGCTGTAGTTTTCCGACTTCTGCTGTGATAATAATGGGAGTCCAGATGGGAGAGATGTCCAAGCTGGGTTGACTGGTCTGTTGGGCTACCAGAGACATGGGTGGATTCCTTTTATTTCCTGTAGGTTGTGTTTAGTTGAAGCTGCAAGACCTTCACTTCTTTCCAACTAATTTTGTGACCTTCATATGCATGTTGGGCTGACTTTGGTTTTTCAAGCAGACCTTGTGTCAGGTTATATTTTCACTCCTCAAACTGGAAATATGTAGTTGTTAAACAGATTTCCACTAAATCCATTACATCTTTAACTTGTAAAGCTGAACAGACTCACAACATCAGAACTTACGAGGCAGTCTTTGTTCTGAAGGTTAATGGCTTGTATTAAATTTATGCAGTGTTCTGTTCTTCAGGAAGGAGTATATTGCCAGGGGGGAGGGGGCTAAGGATCTTAAGGAGAAATTCTGCTAGGACATAACAGGGAGAGTCAGTAGAGAAGTTATTGGTCTAAGGGTGATGTCAGGTTTGTGCATCTTGGGAAGTCCATAGAGATGAGGTGGTTTACTTTGGTAAGGAGTCAGTTTATGTTTCAAGGCGACCAGAAGGACAGTTTTGTGCTTCATGAGAAGTTTCCATATGTTCCACACAATTTGAAATGTGGGATCCTTATGTAGAATTTCATAAACCCCTGATTCTAATAGATTGGTTGGCTTGTATTTCGATTTACATATATCTAATTTGATTATTTATCTGGTTTGATAGTGTGTGTTATATTTTAATGATAGGTTAAGCATATCTTCTTCTTCTATGGCGGAACAGCCTGATGTCGGGCCTTGGCCTCCCTTATCAAGCCCCTCCATTCCTCTCTGCCCTGCGCTGCTCTCTTCCATTCCTTACACCAATTCACTTCTTCGCATCTTCTTCCGCCGCATCAATCCACATAGTTCATGGTGGTCTAGTGGAGATCTTTCAGATCTCAGATCTCAGATTTCAGATCTCCTTCTGCCTAAGAAAACGTTTGAAGATTTCCCCTTCTGCCAGGATGTGGAGTTGATCTGACTGATTTGATCTCCAGAAAAAAGTTTCCAGATCGTTCATTTATTGTTCAGTATGGCCTTTTTGAAATGGTAGAACTGGATCCTGTCTCTTAGCAGGGTCCTGCTGGCTCATGAGGTTATCTATGGTATTGAGCCTTTGAAAACAATATCACGAGCCTTGCATTTCATAAGAAAAGTAAGATGACTGGAAGTCTTAGCCGGCTGAATCTTAACTCTCTCAAATTCCCTGAACTTTGGATATATACCAGGTCAATAGTGGTTATGTAACTGAGATATAAAAATTTGTGATTGTGGTATATTAATACAGTTATTGTGTTTCTGAACATGATTTTGATGAAATGTTAGTAATATATGGAAATTCCTCTTCAAGTACAAGTGCATAGGTTTTATGTACAAGATAATGGTGGTACATGAAATGATGCTCATGAATTCAGCTTTAGTGAGCAGATGGATGTGATTGTTGTTTAAGTATCCAGTAAACAGCAGTAGTCTATTGAGCAACAGCTAGTTTTTTTCTGAAAGTAACCTAATCAAGATCAATCATAGATGAGAAAGTACATGCTGTGTCTGTGCACCAATTTTGAAAATTCCTGCTTGTTTTTTTTTAATGCTAGTAGGGTGGGAACTATGTCCCTTGTATTGTGGCCACTTCTGGCCTATTGTACCAGCCCCAGATGACAGGTGAGGGTGATTGTGGAGCAATTGGTGGAATGAAGATTGGCAGGGGAAACCAAAGCACTCGGAGAAAACCTGCCCCAGCGCCACTTTGTCCACCACAAATCCCACTTGACCAGACCCGGGATTGAACCCGGGCCACCATGGTAGGAAGCCAGTGACTAACCGCTTGAGCTGTGGCGCATTCCTGCTTGTTACAAAATGTATGACATCACTGTAACATCTACTGCAAAGTTCCATACTCACCTTTCCTCACAGAAGAGTGCAAAGTATTTATGTAGGGTGTGTAATGGCAGCTGGGATGAAATTTTTGTGAAGTGCAGAAGGAAAACCCAGAATAAAGAGAATAATAAGCAATTCAATCAGAATCTGGGGATAAATACATAAGACAAATTACAGAATAATATGACATGGCCATGAGAGAATCCCACACATAGTTTTGAGCATGAAACTAAAAGGAGAATACCCAAGAGGAAGACCAAAATCAAGATGGGAACAAGTTAGGAAAGATGACATACTGAAGGAAGGAAGAAAGGACATGAAAGAAATCGAGGAGGATGAGCTATGGAAGACAGTGGTATTTCAGGCATGGAGATTGTTGGCATATGCCCCAGAGTTGTCTACCAACTCCTCTGATAGCAGAGATGATGTGTTTGTATATTCTGTTTTTTTGTTACTCTAAGAAGTGAATGCATGTAAATGAAGTTCCCATATTGTATGCTTTTATATAAACTGGAAAATATGACGCTTCATTGATGTGGAATGTCAACTTGTGCTACAAGGAAGGAATCAAGTGTTAATCTTATGTACAGTATTGGTAACTGAAATAGGTTAGTACAGCACCATAGAGTTTGTCTGTCAGTGTGTCTGACACAAAGTGGAGTAGCTCCTCTTCTAAGGTGAATGTCTTTGTCTCGGCTCAATGGCATTCTGGCTCTGGTAGCTGGCCATCTAGGTGGCATGATGTTGAGCCATCTTTTGTTTCTGCAAGGGGTAGAGTCCCTAGCTCTGCAGTTAAATCCAGAACCATCCCGCCATTTGGAAGTGGGTCATCATCATCGTCATCTTCCTTTCGTGCAGCAACCTGCAAGTCATGTGCACTATAGCGGTGTGTCATGCTAAGTGGACAGGTAAACTGACTATCTGGTAGCAGAACCCAGACTTTCACCATGATCCTGACTCTCTTCCATACACCTTCCCAATTACTTCCCAAAGATTCGGTTTAACATTATTTTTCCATGTTTTGGGTATGCAAGATTGCACCTTCCCACCAAAATCTGGTACATGTTCTCCACCAGCCCATTACACCATACATTCCCTACCCTAATAACAATACTAGGGGACATACATAAACCATGATCTTTCTTGTTGTATTAAATTATCCACATGTTTTATCTGTCTCAAGCCCAAATATTTTCATTGGGCTTCATTTTCTAACATTTATAAGTTATGTTGTTTCCAAAAAGTAAGAGACAAGTGCTCACACCAATACAAAATGACTGGCAGAATTATTGTTTCACATTTTGATTGTACTTACCTTGGGCAGTACACAGGATGCTCACAGTTTCTGAACTGAATACTAATAACGAATATTTCTTGAAATTATCTTCCCATAATTCCACCACAGTCCCCATTTCTGTTTGTTACTGCTGCTGATAATTGAATTTTAAAATATTTTAAAATTAGTCAAATGAATTTCAGTTTTTGAAACTGCAGAGTGCAGCGCACCTTCATGAAGGTGTCGGAGTCCTGAAGGGCCTGCTTTGCTAGATACCGCTCACGCTTGATCTTCAGTTCCAGGCTCTCGGGTATATCGGGCACCAGTACATCGATCATGCGGCAAATCCCGAACACCACATGCTGCAACACGTTCACTGTCATTATCAGTACATACCACAGCAAACATCTGTAAGATCCGTTCTACCTGTAATATTCTCATTTTGTCCTGTTTACTGGAAGGCACTGCTGTCCCTTAGTGCTGTTGTCTGTCTGCTTCCCTCCCATTTTCAGATCTCCCACCATGCAGCGGTAGGATGTCATAGGACGTTTAGACACTACTGATATCTGGAGACAGTTGACATTTGCATATTATCATTACATTATGCGTACTGTGTAGGCAACATGAAAAATGGCTTGTGTGCCATTAATTAATCTGAAAATAGGATCATATATTCTCTTTATGCAGACTAGGTTTAATTCAGTCTTTGCTGGAAATGTGTGTTTCATGTGACCAGTATTTAGGCCAGCTTATTCAAGCATTTTGGATTATTTTCTGTTGATAATCATGGAAATGTTGGCATCTGCTTATTACACAAAAGTTAGTTTTCATCCAGGATATTGACCAGATGTTGTGATGTAGTGATTAGTGCTCCTGCTTCATATTCTTAAGGTCCCAGGCTCATATCTCAGTTGAGGACTGCATTTTTAATGACCTCTCTTATTCCCTGAGACAGCTAATGGGCCCCAGTGCACAGCTTCACGTTGCACTCACCTCAAACACAATGACAAAGGCAAGCCTCACAGCCAGTAATCGCCAGAAGAAGGGAGTGTGGTTGCCCCTCTCATCTCGCAGACCACGGTACCGGCATTGCTGGGGCATAGTCTCTGGTGGGGCATAGGCCAGGGTGAAGTTGACATATCCCACTAAGTTCCAGTCATACTCATATTGGTACAACAGTTTTGGCAGGAATTCTGATGTAAAGGCAATCAGGAATGCCTGTGGAACGAATCCAGGGAGTTAGATCACAGAATGCACAAGATGACAGGCTGAGACTGAAAGCAGAATAGCAATACTCACATTGCTGATAACTGCCAGGTGAGCCAGCATATCCAGGATCTTGAACCAGATGCCAATATTCTCTGCCCGTTCTGCCACAATGCGTCTTGTCTCGCATACAAACTTCTGTGCATCCAGCCGTATCTCCACCCAGTTGTTCAACAGCGCAAACAGTGGAGCCAGAGGGAAGGCAGCCACAAAGATAGTAATGAACCCAAACTGGAGAACTGGAAAGGAGGTGCTAGTCAGTGCAGTTATGGTGGGAACTGGATTCTAGAGGAACTTGCATAGGCACTCCAGTATCTGTGAAGACTCACCCATCTCCAGGTACTCCTGGAAGAGTCCCTCACTGTCAATCAACTGGTAGTCCTCTTCCCACCTTGTTCTGTGCATCTTGGACAACTGGACCTGTACATAGTGCAGCATTTTGCTTTACGTATCAGCTAGTCAAGCAATTTCACCAGTTTCAAACATCATTTTGTGGCTATACCAGAACAGGCAGAAGCTTTTGTGAGAATGAAGCTGCCCCACTGGAAAAGTGTTGCTGGTGTGCAGATTCAGTGTACTGCTGCTGTTCTACAGATGTTTCAGAGTTTTGTGGCCCCAGAGTATGTCACTGTCACATGACAAGTGAAGCGCATCTGTTGGGAAATGATCACTTCAAGGGATGAGAGAGGATGATATTTTAATACAGGGTCACCAAAAGAATAATTCCAGAATTTCATTGTTTAATATATCGGTAAATTCGAGACATGTGTTCATGATATTTGTATCAGAATGTGTAAAAACTCTCAAGGTTTTGTCGTCAATTGTCCTGCATAGTGGCATTCATGTCATGTGTTTGACCCTGGTCAGTCAGGGAGATAGCATCTGTCCAGCAGAAAGATCAGTACGTGCTATGGTATGCCAAGTTTGTTATGACCATGCAACTTAATTTTTGACATTCGTATGTAACAGAAGCTCCTACAAACTATCCTGACTGAGGGTTTTCGTGGTTTCTCCTCAGTCACTCAAGGACAGTGCTAGAATAGCATCTTCAAATAGGGCACAAATGTTTCCTCCCACAATGTTTCCAGTTCATCTAATCATTTATCTTCCTATCATATGATAGTGAACTGCTGACAGCACTGTTAAATAAAGCATAAATAAGTAATTAAGTAAATAGATAAATATTCTTTGCTTTCCTCAGTCCCTGTGACCCCAGTATTCACCTGCTTCTTCTGCCACCATGCTTTCATTTTGGGCACAAAGATCTCCTGGGCATTGTTGATGATCTGTTTTCCAATCATGATCACTGCCAGCTGCTGGGCCAGCTCAATCAGACACCCCCCTGCACTGCACTAAACAGAGACCAGTAATGAGAAGGGGTGCCCATGCACACAGCAGATGGATGTGAGACACAAGACACAAGTTGTTTGCACTTACATCCTCGTTGCGCAGCCGAAGGATGCGAGTATAGTTGCCAGGGTAGCCAACAAAGCGGCCTTTGAAGAAGGCAATATAGAAGATTGAGGAGTAGAAGTTGACGAACTGGAAGATGAATACTTTGAAGGTGAGATTGTCATCAAACTCGGTCTGGGTACGGTGCATCTCTGTGACACAACAGAACAGATGTGAAAATGACAACTGAAAGTGACTCATTCTAGGCTAGTCCATATTGCTTATTACCAGCTGTGACTGTTTCAGCAGTGGTAAAAAATGACTCTGTTTGGATTGTGACTTGTTAAAGTGACTTGACCTAGGGTATAGCTTATTAAAGTCATTTATTCTAGACTTACTTGTTGAAAAGTTACTCATCCTTACAATGACATCCTTGGCTGCAACTTGTTTTTAAAATGGCTCATTTTAGGCTGTGATTGTTGATTTAATCATGGGATTCTCAAGTGACTCTAGACAATGATAAAAATGGTCATCTCATGCTTATTCATGTGATACTCCCAGAGACTTATCAGAGTGGCTTACTGTGGTGAGACTCAATTCAGGTGATTCACCCTACACCATGACTATTTACGCTTCTTCAGACACTTATCAGAATGACTTATCATAGCCCTTGGCTTGTTCAAGTGACAGACATGAAAGTGACTGACCCCAGGTAGTGAGTCGGAAGGCCAGTTTCTCGTACACACGGCTCATTGCCATGATGAGGATCAGGTTCACTACAGCACCTGTCATGTTGGCAATGGCCTGGGCCTGTGCCCTGAAGGTGGAGTTTTGGAAGAGCGGGATGGACACCAGCACACGGTAGATGATGACTGCCACAATGAAGATGATGACGAGTGAGATCTGCAGAGAGAGAGAGAGCACTCAGTAGCTGCAGTGCCCAGGCATGGGCCAGCACAAGTCACGAGGAGGAACTGACCATGAGGAAGATGATGCCAATGCCGGCCGCTACCCTCTTGTTGCGCAGTGAGCTGGGGAAGCTGGGCTCTTGTATTCCAGTGACAGGGTTCCGCTCCAGGAAGGGTGCCCGGGCAGCAAACTCTGGACGTGGACGCTCTTCTTCCTCTTGGAAGCCCATGCAATCCCAGTGGTGTGCCAAGCTCACTGACTTACGCTTCCAGTACTCCAGGAATGTCACAGCTGTGGGAAAGGCATCCAGCTGTTGCTTGTGATCAAGTGTGGTACTGTTTTTAAGTGATGGAATACCAAGAGCATTAGTCACCAATGTTATATTGTATTAAGTATTTCATGTTTCTCTGCACTGAAACACTGCTCCTTTCACTGTAAGGGGGCATATTAAATAGCAGCTGATGTGACAACTCTAGAGAAAACTTGTCCCCCAAGAAGAAGGATACAATTTCGGGTTAGACAAAATATTCCCTCTATCCAGGATGCAGCAGGTGGCAGTCTGATTCATATGTTAGCAAAGTGATATTCTGACTTTTCCAGGTGACTGTTTGTTTCCATCCTCTCTGACTCACTCAGTTCATTCCCACATCATGCAGATGAAACTGCATTACTGAGTAACATTTGGACATTTAGCTTACATTTGTGTTTCACACTCACCCCAGAAGGACATGAACACAGCATAGAATACTGTGCCTGGGTGATCAAACAGATATGCAAGCTGCGCATAGCTGCACACCTCACTCAGGTTCCAGAAGTTGCAGCCCACATCGATGTCACAGAGTGGACACATGTTGAACTCTCCCCCACTGTTGCACACCTCTGCAGCCAGCTGGTTGGAGTGCATTGTACATAGACCATACAGAAACACCAGGAGGCCAACCAGTGCAGCTGGCAGTAGCCATCCTGTGTAGAACCCTGGAAATTTGCATCATCCCATGTAGGACCCTGAACAGAGATGTAACCTCTATAACACATCTGCTGCACAGCACTTACCCAACCACGCAAAGTAGATGGCAATCTTCTCCCCAAAGTACTCCCGAATATGGTCCAGAGGCTGATATTTGTACCACTTCCCCCAGCGTGCCCAGTATTCGTACAGCACCTGCCGAGCATTCAGAGCGTTCTCAGTGACACCCTTCTTCTTCCTAACTTCATACGGGCCCTGAAACAACATGCACCTTTAGTTCCAGTCTGTGGCATCCTTTTACACTGAGGTTATGTTGCTGCAGGAGGCACTTACATCATGTAGGGGGAAGGCAGAAGAGAACACTCCTTCCTCTACCAGCCGGTCTATTCCGACCTCACCCTTCTTCTTCTTGCCAAACAGGGCAGTGGAGAGGATCTCATACAGAATGCGCCCTCGCTGCACATTTGTGAAGTAGTTCTCCCTATCGTCACAGCCCAGGAACCTGAGTGGCATGTACAGTTAATTCTACATCTTTTATCTCTTGTAAAGTAAATCTAGGAGGAAACTGGAAACAAACAAGGGGGTTATCTTTTATCGGGCAGTTTCAGAATGAAAATGTAAATTTCCTGCATTAGGTAAAAGTTTTTTAAGAAAAATTTATCTCCTAAAGGACAGGGCTGTAGAAAGAGACTTTTGCTATTCTATTCAATTAAGGCAAGTGACTCTTTTAGCCCAGTTTCCTTTCTTAAGGATATAAAGTGGGCTTGTAAGATCACTGTGCTGTCTGCATGTCCCCTTTCAAGCAGTTGGCTGATTTTCATGAAACCTTGTATGAAGGTTATGGTATCAGATACTACCCTAATTCCCTACCCCAGCAATAATGACGTGGCCGGCATATGAACTTGTGATGTGGGAGCAGCAGTAGCGCTGCTTAATTTAGGGTCCAGAATGAGGTATAATAATAGATTTTCAAAATATAAATAAATTTGGTGAGGTAATTTTCCTGTAGAATGTGAAATAACGAGGACTGTATGAAATGTATATTTAGTTTCCATTGGATCTAAGTATGGGAAATTTGGTACAGAAGTAGATCGTAAACATACCTACATATTGTATATGAATATTGTTTGTAGCCCAGCTTTATGAGTTCTGCTTGGAATGCATCGTTTAGTTTGTAGCCTTGTCCATGAGGAACTTAAAAATAATATGGTCTCCACAATGAATATATATGTATTCATGTGGTTCATGTGTAAGGCACAGCAATTGGAGATTTCAAAGTTTGACACAGAGTGATTTGCAGATAGGCTGTGACTACAGGTTTGTGCTCTGTAGCAAAAGTAAGCAGCATAAACAGTATACAGGAGGAAGATTCTGACATCTTTTGTACCAAGGGCCTAGGCATTGCAGTGTTTTGTAGGGGGATCATGTTACGTGTCCATGTATTGCAGCATCACTGTGGTAGCCATTATCTGCCCATGTCATAGCATCCTTGTGGAGACCATGTTACACATGTGTCGTAGTGTCATTACGAGGACCGTGTTACCTGTCCAGCTTGGACTTCTTGAATGGACAGGTGTAGTAGTCCAGTGGCTTGTTGGGGACTTCTTCATGCATTATGTTGGGCAGCCTGAGTGCCTTAAGAACCAGCTGTGACCAGTTCACTGATGGGTTTGGATGAGCCTGCCAACACAATAGATAAATTGCACATGAGAGGCAAAGAAAAATGTGAATGTTTTTTGTATTCCTGAGCAGTGCATTCATTCATTTCCTTTGTGGGAACTGCCCACATTCAAGCAAGTGTGACAACGCAAGCTTCATATTTTCCATATATTCATACAGGTAACAAACCTAGGATGTGGAAATGGTCCCTTTGCAAATAGATATATCAAGATACATATACAAAATTACACAAGTCACACAATCAAAATCACTTACATTAATCAAGTAAATTAAATAATAATATAAAGTAAAAAATTTAATAAGATAATTTAAAAATAACTTACTATAAAACTTGAATTAACACAATTTTATTTAAATTACCCATATTAACTGAATTAAATACATTACAAATTTACATACTTGTGACCAATTATGTTGATAAAATTCATTCATGGAATAAAAAGAATAATGATATTAAAACCTCTTCAATGCAGATTTAAAACTTCTCACATCAGTAGCCAACATTTTTATGTTTGAGGAAGATGATTAAAAACTTTAATACCTGATATGTACACACCTTTATTGTAGTTTGTTAGGTTAACTGCAGGTAAATATAAATTATTGAGGGCCCTAGTTTTGTATTTGTGAATCTCATTGTTAAAATTAAATAAATGTTTATTATTAATTGTTTATAAAAGGAATGAATATATGTACTGAGAGTAGAACATCATTATTTCCAAGTTCTTAAAAATGTCCCTACAAGACTCTCTTGGTATAGAATTCGTTATAATTCTAATAACTTCCTTTTGCAATCTAAAAACTTTGTTAACACAAGAATAGCCACCCCAAAAAATTATACCATAACTTATGATAGAATATATAATAAATTAGCTTTAACGTATCTAAAGGGACAATATATTTTATATTTCTCGATGCATAACATGCAACACATCCAGCGATACAGTGCATGCAGCCACAGGAGTAGAACACATCATAAGACATAATATACACACAACATTAGAAACATAAGAAGAACGACCCCCATGAGGATGATCAATAACACACACAAATTTAAAATATGATGTATGAGATAATAGGTTTTAACAAGTTTTAAATACATAAACTTTATTATTATATAAGGACATATACAAATTTAATATTATTTGTAAATGGACATATGAAGGCAAGCAGTGAATAAGTTGATGGATTGATACACCTGAAGATGGCAGCATACTGCCGAAACATGTAGTGTAGAAGTGGTAGATGGGATTGTATGCACTTGAAGACTGTTAATACAAAATACACATTATGAATATGCAATGGAAATTTTATTAATAACATAATCAATATGCTGTTTCCATGAAAGAGTATCATCAATAATTAATCCCAGAAATTTTGTCTCAGTCACATTTGTTAAATTTATCTGATCATAGTTAATTTGAGTAGTGATATAATAAATAGGTCAAAACTCAACATATTGAATCTTATTAAAATTCAAAATTTGTGGTAAAACCATAATGTGGATTAAGTCTTATCTGGAGGGTAGAAAACAAAGAGTTGAATTGTACAATAGTGAGAAAGGGAAAATTTTTTCAGGTTGGAAAACTGTTAAATGTGGAGTGCCGCAAGGATCGATATTGGGTCTCTTGCTGTGTCTGTTATATATTAATGATTTATGATTAATGATTTTATCAAGTTATTGTTGTATGCGGATGATACAAGTGTATTAGTATTGGGTAATAATATCCAGGATATCCAAACAAAGTTCAGACATGTGTTAAATTCCTTAAACCTTTGGTTTACAGGAAATAGCTTGTCTATTAAAAATATGAAGAAAACTAAAGTGTTAAAATTTGAAACAATTAATCATGGAAATATGCCAATGCAATTGCACTATAATGCACTATGATGCAATGAATATCAAAATTTTGGGCCTTCAAGTTTTTAAACTGGAAAACACATTAAATTAATGTTACCCAGATTTGGCAAGGCATGCTTCACATTAACAAATATGAAGTTATGCAGTAACAGTAAAATACTCAGCATGATATATCATGCATATTTTTATTCAGTCATGAGGTATGGGATAGTTTTCTGGGGTAACTCATCAATAATGATTCTAGATTAAAAGAACACTATAAAATGTATTGCAAGATATTAAGTAGAGTTATCTCAACAGCAAAAAAGTTATATCTGAACAAAGTCATAAAAACTTCCAATAATAAAACAAGAACAACCTGGAAAATTATAAAAAACATGACTGGAAATAGCCAAGCTTCTACTAAGATGACTTGTTTAAATATAAAGGGTAATATCACTCAGGACTACAAAAATATAGTAAGATCGTTTAATAACTTTAGATATAAGCAATTCTACGAAGAAATGAACAAATAATACTGTGGAAACAGATAAGAAGTTCATGGATTATTTATACACTTCATTTCCAAAACCATCTCAGAAATTGGTATTAAAAGCAACTAACAGCAATGAAATAGAAGAGATAATAAGATCTATAAAACTTAAAGCAGCTTGTGGATATGATGGAATTACTACCAAATTAATAAAAGCAAGTGCACCATATATATCATCACCATTAACTTACATATTTAATAAGTCATTGTCTACAGGAATATTCCCTGCTCGATTAAAATATTCTGAAATAATACCCATACACAAAAAAGGGGATAAAACCGACATGTCTAATTATAGACCTATATCTTTACTCCCAATCTTTTCTAAAATTTTTGAAAAAGTTATATATAAAAGAATGATTTTCCACTTAAATACACATAACCTGCTAACGCAGGAGCAATTCGGCTTTAGAAAAAACTCTTCAACTACATTAGCTACTTATAATCTAATGGAGAATATTTATAGGGCTTTAAACAACAAATATATAGCGGGTGGAATTTTTTGTGATCTGAGTAAGGCTTTTGACCGAGTAAATCATGATATATTGCTATCAAAAATGGACTTTTATGGAATTGAAGGAGCTGCTCAGAAACTTATAAGATCCTATTTGAGAGGAAGATACCAGAGAGTAATTTTGTATGAAAATGGGAGTAAATGTTGTTCTGAATGGAAAGAAATACAGTGCGGAGTGCCTCA